TTTTTCCGAGGTTTGGAGTCCCTAGATATCTTATGACTGATGGTGGTTCACACTTTATTCATGGTGCTTTCCGTAAGATGCTCGCTAAGTATGATGTCAATCATAGAATCGCATCTCCTTATCACCCGCAGTCTAGTGGTCAAGTAGAGTTGAGCAATAGAGAGCTCAAATTAATTTTGCAAAAGACTGTGAATAGATCTAGAAAGAATTGGTCCAAAAAACTTGATGATGCATTATGGGCCTATAGAACTGCATACAAAAATCCTATGGGTATGTCTCCATATAAGATGGTTTATGGAAAAGCATGTCATTTACCTCTTGAACTTGAACATAAAGCATATTGGGCTATTAAGGAGCTCAATTATGATTTCAAACTTGCCGGTGAGAAGAGGTTGTTTGATATTAGCTCACTTGATGAATGGAGAACCCAAGCATATGAGAATGCCAAGCTTTTCAAAGAAAAAGTCAAATGCTGGCATGATAAGAGGATACAAAAGCGTGAGTTTAACGTAGGAGATTATGTGTTATTGTTCAACTCTCGTTTAAGATTTTTTGCACGAAAACTTCTCTCAAAATGGGAAGGTCCCTATGTTATCGAGGAGGTCTATCGTTCTGGTGCTATAAAAATCAACAACTTCGAAGGCACAAATCCGAGGGTGGTAAACGGTCAAAGAATTAAACATTATATTTTAGGTAATCCTATAAATGTTGAAACTAATATTATTGAAACCATAACCCCTGAGGAATACATAAGAGACACTTTCCAGAACGTTCCAGACTCCGAAAAGGCATAGGTACGTGGTACGATAAGTAAACCGACTCCAAAACAACTCTAATGGCAATTTTTATCAGTTTTGGATTATTTAAGAATTTTAGGAAGAAAGAAGTAGTCCGAAAGGGACACGAGGCTCCCACGAGAGAGGAGGCCGCCCCCCCTTTAGGGCGCGCCCTTCTGTCTCGTGGGCACCTCGTGTGCCTCCCGGACTCCGTTTTCTTGTATGTTATGTATTTTGGTCGGTAAAAATTCATTATATATACTCCCGAAGGTTTTGACCACTGTATCACATAAATATCCTCTGTTTTCGTTTCGAGTTGTTCCTATTGCAGAATAAAGCAAGATGTCTTCTCAGGAGTCAGTTGGGGAGAGCCGGGTGTCTCAACCAACGCCAGGTCCGGAAGCAAATAGCGATGCCTATCACTTTGGACCATCAACGGAGGATGAGATGGAGGCTGATTTGAAAATGATAGATGCCATGGAGGAAGATCAAGAAGTTAACTCTCGTCTCCGAGCAGAATTCACTATGGGGGAACTACCTAGCCTGACCGTCACTGCTTCGGTCATCCCTTCCAACTCTAGATTTCTATCTAATGAAAATATGAAAAAGAGTTTCACTTGTTCTCCAGAAGCTATGCAGCATCCTTGGGTAAAAGGAGCCTTGGCCGTTACAAGCAAGCTCCGTAAAGAAATTATGGACCTCAAACAACAAGTTAATAAGCTCGAGGGGGAGAACCGCGTCCTGAAGGGCATCATCGCCAAGAAGATTATAACACCAACTATGAAGAAGGAGAAATAATCACATGGGTATGGGCACTCCCCTTGGCAACTGCCAAGCTTGGGGAGGTGCCCCGGTATCGTATCACCATCACACTCCTATTCACACTGCCAAGCTTGGCAAACAAAAGAGTTCATATTGATCTTATGGATAGTGATAACTTCACACATAGAAAGTATGAGGCATAAAAATTGTTGAGAGTTGATGAATGTAGCCTTGGTCATCGTTGCAATTAATAGGAAGTGATAAGGAAAGAGGGGTTCACATATACATATATTATCTTGGACATCTTTTATGATTGCGAAGCACTCATTAAGTATGATATGCTAAAAGAGTTGATGTTGGACAAGGAAGACAACGTAATGGTTTATGTTTTCCGACATCTCAGTTAAAGTATATTGTCATTGACCTTCCAAACATGTTGAGCTTGCCTTTCCCCCTCTTGCTAGCCAAATTCCTTGCAGCAAGTAGAGATACTACTTGTGGTTCCAAATATCCTCAAACCCAGTTTTGCCATGAGAGTCCACCATACCTACCTATGGATTGAGTAGGATCCTTCAAGTAAGTTGTCATCGGTGCAAGCAATAAAAATTGCTCTCTAAATATGTATGACTTATTAGTGCAGAGAAAATAAGCTTTGTACGAACTTGTTGTGGAAGTAATAAAAGCGACAGACTGCATAATAAAGGTCCACATACAAGGGGCAATATAAAGTGACGTTCTTTTGCACTAAGACTTTATGCATCAACCCTAAACGCGCATGACAACCTCTGCTTCCCTCTGCGAAGGGCCTATCTTTTACTTTATGTTTCTACTTTATGCTTGAGTCAAGGTGATGCTCACCTTTCCCTTTTTCATTTTATCCTTTGGCAAGCTCCTCGTGTTTGAAAGATCATGATACATATATCCAATTGGATGTAAGTTGGCATAGGCTATTATTGTTGACATCTCCTAAAGGTGAATACATTGGGAGGCAACACAATAAGCCCCTATCTTTCTCAGTGTCCGGCTGAAACTCTATAACCACAAGTATTGCGTGAGTGTTAGCAATTATGGGAGACTACAAGATAGTTGAATATGTGAGCTTGTTGAAAAACTCTATTATTGACTCTTTCTGATGTTACGATAAATTGCAATTGCTTCAATGACTGAGATTATAGTTTGTTAGTTCCCAATGAAGTTTGTGAACCATACTCGATATTGTGAATTGCTTATTACTTGAGCATAGGAAATCATATGACAAAATCTATATATGTTGCTGTTATTAGAATGATCATGATGCCCTCATGTCCGTATTTAATTTTTATCGACACCTCTATCTCTAAACATGTGGACATATTTTTAGATCTCGGCTTCCGCTTGAGGACAAGCGAGGTCTAAGCTTGGGGGAGTTGATACGTCCATTTTGCATCATGCTTTTATATCAATACTTATGGCTATTCTCTCTTATTTCACAAGGTTTACCATGAAGAGGGGGAATGCCGACAGCTGGAATTCTGGCTGGAAAATGAGCAAACGTTGGAAACCTATTCTGCACAACTCCAAAAGTCCTGAAACTCCACGAAACAACTTTTTGGATTTAATAAGAATTTATGAGCAAAAGAAATAGGCCAGGGAGCCCACACCCTGTCCAGGAGACAGGGGGCGCCCCCCCCCCTAAGGGCGCGACCCCTATCTCCTAGGCCCCCTAGTGGCCTCCGGCGTCTATCTTCTGCTATATCATCACTTTTACCCTGGAAAAAATCGTGGGCAAGCTTACGGGACGAAACTCCGCCGCCACGAGGTGGAACCTTGGCGGAATCAATCTAGGGCTCTGGCGGAGCTGTTCTGCTGGGGACACTTCCCTCCGGGAGGGGGAAATCATCACCAATGATCCTCTCATCGGGAGGGGGTCAATCTCCATCAACATCTTCACCAGCACCATCTCCTCTCAAAACCCTAGTCCATCTCTTGTATCCAATCTTGTATCAAAACCACAAATTGGTACATGTGGGTTGCTAGTAGTGTTGATTACTCCTTATAGTTTATGCTAATTGGTTTACTTGGTGGAAGATCATATGTTCAGATCCTTTATGCATATTATTACTCCTCTAATTATGAACATGAATATGCTTTGTGAGTAGTTACGTTTGTTTCTGAGGACATGGGTGAAGTCTTGCTATTAGTAGTCATGTGAATTTGGTATTCGTTCGATATTTTGATGAGATGTATATTGTCTTTCCTCTAGTGGTGTTATGTGAACGTCGACTACATGACACTTCACCATTATTTGGGCCTAGAGGAAGGCATAGGGAAGTAATAAGCAGATGATGGGTTGCTAGAGTGACAGAAGCTTAAACCCTAGTTTATGCGTTGCTTCGTTAGGGGTTGATATGGACCCATGTATTTAGTGTTGTGGTTAGGTTTACCTTAATACTCCTTTTTGTAGTTGCGGATGCTTGCAATAGGGGTTAATCATAAGTGGGATGCTTGTCCAAGTTAGGGCAGTACCCAAGTGCCGGTCCACCCACATATCAAATTATCAAAGTACCGAACGCGAATCTTATGAATGTGATGAAAACTAGCTTGACGATAATTCACAATGTGTCCTCAGGAGCTCCTTATTCATCATTAGAATTTGTCCAGACTTATCCTTTGCTACATAAAGGATTGGGCCACCTTGCTGCACTTTATTTACTTTATTTATTTTTTGCTCGTTACTATTTATCTTATCACAAAACTATCTATTACCTACAATTTCAGTGCTTGCAGAGAAAACCTTACTGAAAACCACTTATCATTTCCTTCTGCTCCTCGTTGGGTTCAACACTCTTACTTATCGAAAGGACTACGATAGATCCCCTACACTTGTGGGTCATCAGTGCGTCGACAAGGAGAGTTCCTTTGAATTTTTTCCCTTGGGTGGTGATTGATGTTGGTCGAGATGCCACTTTGTTGGACAAGCTCTTTTGCGTTGTGGTTATATTGTGTTTGGTCAAGTTAGAGTGGTTCTTCCTTCTCATTTTGTGTGATCTTGGTAAAAAAATCTGTCAATTTTATAGTGATTTTTTTATGGAGTAATGATAATAGATTCTTCATTCCATGACACGATGAAGTTACAATTCCAATCAAATAAAACATGAAGTTAATCTCCTGATTATTATGATGATTAATATTTTTTTCAAAACCTCCATGATGATGATTTGTGGAGCTGTTTTTTGTTTTTTGTATTTTTGTTTTTGCCAAAGAAAAGGCGCTCAACAAATTTCCCTCGAAGACTGGTGGTGGATGTCAATCTGATTCTCAGACGGGCCAGGCTTGGACATTCAAGCCCGTTATAGACTCAGCCCAGTTAGACAGTAAGGAGCACTTCACCCTACAGAGAGAGACGGACGCAGTGCTCTCCTGCTCACAGCCGCCGCCGCCGCAAACACCCAGCTTTCCCACGCCGGAGAGCGGCCAGCCCCGATGGACTCGCCGCAGATCCCCGACGATCTTTTCCCGGAGATCTTCCTCCGCGTCCCCGACCCAGCCGACCTCGTCCGAATCTCCGCCGCCTGCGCCTCCTTCCGCAGCCTCGTCGCCTGCCGCTCCTTCCTCCGCCGCTACCGCAAGCGCCACGCCCAGCCCCTCGTCGGCTTCTTCGATAATCAGCGAGTCTTCCACCCCGCCGAACCTCCTTACCCCTCCGCTTCGGCCGCCAAAGCCGTCGCCCTCGCCGCCGACTTCTCCTTCCCCTTCCTCCGCGCCCCAGCCAGCGCCTGGCACATTTTCCAGATCCGCGACGGTCGTGTCCTCCTCGGCCGGGACCCCTACGACTTCGAGGAGCTGGTGGTGTGCGACCCCTTGCACCGGCGCCACCTCCTGCTGCCCCGAATCCCTGCACTCGACGAGTGGCTTCCTTCGGCCACGACCGGCGGGATAGGATGGCAGATCTTCCTCCTCGGCGGCGGCGACGACGACGACGAGGAGGCTGCGGAAGAGACGTCTTTCAGAGTGATATGGAGGGCAGAGCGTGAAGATGATGGTAATCAGGTCGCCTTCGTCTTCTCTTCCAGCACGGGACAATGGCGAGCTGCTCCGCCGTTGTCAGGGTTGGCCTCCTTCTCCTGGCGCCAATATGTGCATGGCTGCTTGTACGGGATGACAGATTGCCGGGAGAAGCTACGTGTGCTCGACACCCGGACAATGGAGTTCTCACTCCTCGACCTCCCGCTGGAAGCCAGAGGTTATGCTTATGTGTATGTAGACGTTGTGGAGGCAGGGGAGGGCATCACTGGGTTGTTTGTGCGACCAAGGGGGACACCTGAAATCAGATATTTCACTAGGCGAAACAGTGGTCTGAGTTCCAGCCAGTGGCAGTTGGAGAAGATAGTCTCACTGGGTTCTTCTCAATGGCAGTGGGCGGGTTCACCAAGGCCAAACTTGTTCCTGCGTCACTGCGGAAGCCCATCGCTTGATGGTGGCCTTTTCTCACTGGATATCAAGACATTACAGCTTGAGAGGGTGCTTGGATCAGAGTCTAGCATGCTTTACCCGTGGCCATATACCAACTTTCCACCATTTCTGTCCACACCAACAGTATCAAGTGGTAACCTTTCTGTTGCATCCTAGTTATTTCATTCACTTAGTTATCACACATCTTGTCAGTTGCTTGATACGGTAGTTCATTACTGTCATGGTGAATCTTGTTTACACGGTTTATTAGTTGTCACATTCTCTGTGTTGTGGCTAAGCTGAGGAACATAATTGTGGTTTATTTAAGTTTGTTTTAGTTGACACTTTAAGTTGATTAGAGAAGTAAAAGAAAGGTCTGTGCATAGCATGAGTAGCATTTTGGATGCGCCTTGAAATCGTAAGAAACACGGCATCATGACAATGATTGTTGTTTTTATGGCCAAACTAATGCAGAAGGCATACAAGCTCAAAGGACACTGCTACCAACAGTTCACCTTTGGTTTGTTTCACCTTCTTCCGGTCAAGCTGGAGTTATCTCATTCACATTTCTCTTGATAGATATAAGCAGGGAGGCAAGTCTGATATGGTGAAAAATTTAATTTCTGCTACCATTCCGTTTATGGCGCTGAAGTTCTTTTATGATACATCTCTTTATGTTTACATGTCTTATCTGGCTGTGTAATCCGACTTGATTGCAAATGACGATAAGAAGCACCATAAAATAAATGTATTTCTGTTCTATATTTCAAATCCATTGAACCCAATATTATCCCTATGGAACTATGTCTCAGAAGTAGTCTTGAAGGATTATTCCTGTGCTTTTGTCGTAAGCATTTTACCAAGTATTTCCCAATGGTAAGACCTATGGATTGTTTTACTCGCAACTCCTGAATATCTAGAGTCTGAGTACGCGTATATTGGGCACTTTTAAGTTGATTAGAGAAGTAAAAGAAAGGTGTGTGCAACTGTGCACAGCATGAGTATTATTTTGGAATCACCTTGAAATCGTAAGAAACACGACGTCATGACAATGATTGCAGAAGGCATACAAGCTCAAAGGGCACTGCTACCACACTTCACCTTTGGTTTGTTTCACATTCTTCCGGTCAAGAAGGAGTTATCTTGTTCATTTCTTTTGATAGATATAAGCAGGGAGGCAAGTCTGATGTGGTAAAGTTTTAATTTCTGTAAAACATTTCGTTTATTGCTCTTAAGTTCTCTTATGATTCATCTCTTTAGTTTACATCTCTTTAGTTCCATATTGTCCTAGTACTTTATGCTTCCTCCTGTGCTTTTTGTTTCATAAGCAATTTACCAAGTACTCCCTACGTTCCTAAATATAGTCTTTTTAGAGATTTCGATATGGACTACATATGGAGCAAAATGAATTAATCTATACTCTAAACTATATCTATACGCATTCGTATGTAGTCCATATTGAAATCTTTAAAAAGACTTATATTTAGGAACGGAGGGAGTATTTTATTGCTTAATGGCAAGACCTGTGGATTGTTTTACTTTCAACTCCTGAATATCTAAAATCTAAGTACACATATCTTGGGCAGATACTCAGGAAGGTGATGAGAAGGAGATGCCGGAACAAGGTGCTGAGATGCTGCAAGATGACGAGCACACTGCTGATGACGCGAATGCTGGAGGTCAGGTCGGTGTATCGAGGGCTCAAGATTGCGCTGATTGAGATTGTTGCTGCGACTGGACAGTTGACCACAGGTTGATCATCAATACGGTACTGGTAACTTGTGGCTCTCTCTGTCTGTAATATGGTTATCTAACATCAACATGGAGTTTATCTTGTGTGCCTTGATCTGGCAATGATCGGTTCATCCGTCAGATGAGGTAGCAAGAGTATTAGCTTCATTTGTTTTTTACTAGTTTAATTATGACTATGTGGTAAGTCAGAGTGATTGTGATCTTGCTGTATGCCTGCCCCATGTGGCATGAATGGAACCAGTCAGGTACTATGACTATGAAATTAAGGAGGGTAATGATCTACTCCATGAGCAGTGGCAGAAGTGAAGTGAATGTGCTAGTACTCTTAAGGAGGATCTGACCGTCCTTTTCTTTGCATATTGTACAAAACGGAGTTACTTTTGGTTCTGTATCAATCTGGTTTTTCAGTGTATTTATTTGAGCCAAGTTCGTTGAGAGCATTAGCATTCACTAAACATGCTTCCTCTGTAAATGAAGAATTCATCATCGTGCTCATTCTTGGTGTACTTGAGCGGCCATTCATCATCACTCTCACTTCACTGATCGAGAAGACAACCTTCTAGGTTAAAAACCTACCACTTCTCTTACACGACCCGTATCAAAATGGCCCTAAAGCTACACAACCGACGCAGGCAGTGGCGGCCAAGGCCTTGCAAAATAGAAGAAGCATAACCTTGTGCCTAGAAGAAAATGAAAACCGAAAAGTTACCCTTATCAGTTCAGAAATTAAGACATCGGTAGTCTGGTTTCAGAGACTCGATAAATTCTTGCAATACTCTCACAGTTAAGCATTATCCATAAAGGTATCAACCATCTTATAAACATATCTGGTTCCACAAAGGCAGAACGTTCAGTGAAATTGTGTTCTTGCGATGTTCCTCTGGCATCTTCTTCAGCTAATAGCAGAGAAGGATAAAACTTGTGGAACAATGTAGCACTAAAAGGTATCACTGATTGCAAGGGAGAAAGCATTCCTAAATCACCCATGCCTGGACCCTACAACATAGAACAAATACTAAGATGATGCCTTGCCGCTGATCATCCAGACACTTCCTGATATCCTCTTACTCCTCCTTCACATGGCAATCCTGGTCCAAGGAAACACGTTAAGGATCAGAATGAAGGTAATTCGCCATAAGAATATTTCATTATTTTTTGCCACAAGTAACTAGCTTGCAAAATGACCTTCTATTATGGGACGGAGGGGATAGTACACGATAGTCACTAGCATGTTATGTGCACTCGGAAACAAAAATAATGAATTTACATCAATACAGGGTTTTTTTCTTTCAAAAAGACAGGCAGCACCAGTTAAATGCCTTCATATCAAACCGACATGTTCCCATTTTATAATTTGTGTTACAGTGAATCTCAAATCTGATCATATAAGGAGAAATGCTTGACATACAAACACAAAATCCCCAAAGTTAGCTTGGATTAGCCACTTATCGTAGAAAGGGAAAACTTTCATGGTGACATCTCTGACACACATAATGCATAAGCTCAAAGCATACCCAGCCATGCAAACTTACCAATCCACTTGTCTTCAGCAACAAAATATATGATCCAATAGGCAACATTAAAAAAAATAGGTATTAACAACTTCAGATACAAGTCGTACTAGTTATACCAAACAGTGCAATGAAAGGTGCAATGAAAGGTGCACGCTGCAAAACTATGTGGCTTCAACCACAGCAATGTAAAGATCATATAAAAGGCAAAAGGCAAACCTTGCAGGACCATCCTTGAGCTTAGGGAATGTGGGAGGCCAAACCATCATAAACGGATAGACATCAGTGAAGTGATCTTGATTCTTCGCAACCAATTTACGGAGTGTCCTGTTCTTGACATCCAGATAGAATACACATCCACGCGTTTGCAAAACCACAAACTCAGCATTATCCCCAGCATGACATACATAGCAATAACGAGAATGCTCATCCTCAAGCATATTATCTAGCATCCTCGGATTAGCACACATCTCATGCAGACAAATGGTATCAACCAGCAACCAGTTGTCCCCCTTGTGGAGCCAGATGCAAAGTTTAAAGCCATTGACATGGATGACATATACACCGGAAGGATCATCTGCCCGTGACAAGGTGTGAAAATTGTCATACTTCACTCCAGGTGGGTGCTGGATTCTAGACAAACTTGAGGCTGTCAAATCCAAGACAATAATGTCGTCTGCGGGGGAGACCACCATATAGATTTTATTGTCGACAAGCACAACTTTTGCTTTGGGTAGCGGAAGATGGAGCTGGGCCGTGGCCGAGGTATGCAAGCACCAAACACTGCCTTGTAACATATACACGCGTAAAGTGAAATTTTCTGTCTGATTAGTCAACTCCGTCAACACATAAAAGTAGGACAAGCCATTGCCTTCTTCTTTGGAGAGAATAGAATCAAAATATTGGCGATTGTGATCCTGGGCTCTTGGGAGTGGTGGGACGATGTTAATGCCTCTCTCAGGGCAAAGCGGGCGGTGCACTCCATATGCTAGTTCTATGTGGCGCACTCCATATGCTAGTTCTCTTCCTTCACGACGTCGGGTGAAGATGCTGCCGTTTCGGGAGTCCATGATCCGTAGATTCTTGGGGTCATCGAAGTTGTGGTTCACCATGCGGCGGACAACAGTGTTGAACTCCGGGGGCTGGGGCAGCATCGGACAAAGCACAGGAAGGCTACCAATTCCGGTCGGATCAAGATGCTGCCAATGTAGAAGCCAAGTAGGCGGGGCGGGTGGAGCTCACGGAACCGGCGGAGGAAGCCCCGGTTCGAGGCGAGATGGTACCAGCACCTGCACACGAGGGCAGCGCGAACGAGGGTGGTGGGGAAGCCGGCGCGGAGGAGGATCTCCGCGAGGAGGTTGTTGTCCTCAAGCACCTTGGAGACAGGGTCCACGACCGCCGGGGAATGCCAGCCTGCCTTGCCATCGACATCCGCGTGTGGTTTCTTCTCAGGACAGATCTTGGAAAATCGGCAGCGCCGAGCAAATGCAAAAATGGCAACTGATTTCTTCAACCAATGTCGTTCAAGGAAATACCATAATCAAACTACTCCAAATTAAATGCGAGGGGCAAGAATCGAAGTTGGAGGAATTGGACGGATCTTACGTCTGGGGATCCTCGGCGGCGGCATCCATCATTCAATGTTCCCCACGACTGAGCTGCCGCAGCAAGTAAATCTAGGTAGGAGGAGTTAGTTTGGGAGGAAAACCTAGATAGCTAGTGTTTGATCCCGCGAGATGAGGAGAAACGAAACCGGGAGAGGACAGGAAAGAGAAAGACTCACCTGAATTGAATCGGCAGGAGGGAATAAGAAGTCGGTGGCCGTAGCCGGGGCCGGGTTCCGGTCGCCGGCGCCGCTTCTTTCTCTCCGCTGGGACCGTTGCAGTGGAGGTGTACCTTCTTTTTTTCTTTTGCCCAAACTAGCACATATGCTCGTGCGTTGTGACGGGGGAAGCAAATCCTCGCATGCTCCAAGCGACCCACCCCTGTTACCAATCTCTTCGCCACCTTGGTCATATTGTCCACCTATTCACAACAAACGTGATAAATCTCAACGCGATGAGCTTGGTATCACACCATCGCACACTGCTTTTGCAATCCCCTTTCTCTCCTTCTAAAAAAATACATTTAAACTGATAAATATCTGCCTATTAAAATGTTATAATGAACAAGCCAAATTATGTGGCCTATGCTAGCTAAATTTTGGTTATATTAAGAAATATCTTGAAGCTAGCAAAACTTTGATTAGTTGTTAACAGTGAGATAGAAAGGCTGGGATCGAAACACATATTATTCAGTACATCAATATATTCAGAGTGGTGATGGAAAGAAGAAGAAAAAATATAGAAGTATTCTTTAGAAAGAACTGCAGTACATGGTTAACACAAAAACTCCATTTCTAGCCATGAAATTAAAAATACGAATGAGTCCACCTCTGATTATTTAACTTTCTGTTAGATATTTGGTCCTAATGTAACACATGGCCGCAACTTGAATAATCGCGCAAACACCAAACCAGGCGTTGCAAGCTGATAAGCGAAAGCAGAATCAAGATGGATGTCCAAAAATGAAACAAAACTGAAACACCAATCCAGCTATTGTCAGGGGTGTCTGTAACCATACTGAAACAAAACTGATATTCAGCCGCAATCGCAGAAAAAATGGAGTGATTTTCTGACCGCGCACACTGTGCATAATCAGTGAGTTGGAGCTCATAAGTACTCCCTCCGTCCGGAAATACTCGTCGGAGAGATGGATGTATCTAGACGTATTTTTGTTTTAGATGCATCCATTTCTACGATAAGTATTTCCGGACGGAGGGAGTAATTCCTAGATCCATCCCACGCATTATGCACAACCCATTTTAGAGCCGCTACTTCCTTAATTTGGACCGCTTGCCTTTCTTACTTTCCTGTCACAAGAACTCAAATTCCTTTCTTTCCTTATTTCTCTCACTCGGCATCTTACTTATTTCCTTCCTTCATTTATTTATACCCGAGATAGCTCCTTGATAAATTGAAACTCAAAGAACATGAAGAAAATGAAGAAATAGAAGAAAGATGGCACTTGTTCCTAGAAGAAAATGAAAGCAAGAGTTTCCCTTGATCAGTTCAGAGGTTGAGGCAGCGGGGACTGGGAAATCGATGCGACACTTGCTATCAGTTAAATAGTGCAATTAGGCTGTCCTGTCCACCATGTGAAAATAGTGGATTTCTTGCGCAAACGCGGCGATGATCGCTCTGGTTTCACTGAGAATTGTGTTCTTATGAAGAAATAATTAATCCTCAGCTACCAGCAGAGAAGCAGAAAACTGTTGAACAGCCTGAAACCAACATATAGTACTGACTCAGTGGAGAAAGCATTTCAAATTCAGCCATGCATCAGGGTGCAGTTCCTGAAGAGTTGAGAAACTGAGAGCTCTCAGCTCTATCCAGCGTTGCTGTGCCAGAAGGTGCTATGCAATCCAAATAACGGAACGATCATCTTGCCGACCCCTGCATCATGGATGCACTGATGCAGACATAAACTTGTTACACTAGAGCAAGAGTTTTGTTCTTGCACAGCCTTGCTGGATGCCTTTTCTTCTCCTGGAATATCGTCAAAATGACCCTAAAGCTATATAGCCACAGCAGGTGAAGCCGGCCGAGGTTTTACAAAAAGAGATGAAAAGAAAAAACAGGAAGGATGTCACTTGTCCCCGGGAGAAAATGAAAAGAAATTTTTTTCCATTTCTCAGTTCAGAACTTCAGATCTGCCGGACCAAGCCATCAGTGGTCTGGGGTTTCAGAATCTGAATAAATTGTCACAATACTCTCACTTGCAGTTAAGCATATCCATCTTATAAACGTATGTGGTTCTCCAGACAGTGGATTACTCGTGCAAATGGGACAAGGAACACTTTGTTCTCTGAAAAGACAGAACATTCAGTGAATTGTATTCTTAAGATGTTCCTCTGGCATCTTCTGCAGCTAACAGCAGAGAATGAGAAATATATTACTGATTACAATGGAGAAAGCATTCCAAAATCAGCCATGTCTGGACAGTGGGTCCTACAACTTACAACAGCTACTAAGGAAATGCAGCTCCCTGCGCTGCCCTGATGATGCCCTTGTCGCTGATCATCCAAAAGCATCCTGATATCCTCTTCCTTCACATGGCATTCCTGGTCCAGCGAAGCACGTGAAGGATCAGGATGGAAGTAATTCAGCATCAGAATATTTTATTATGTTTCAAATGGACTAGCAAGCCAAGTAACTAGTACAATGATAGTCACTAACATGTTATGTACACTCGGAAACTAAAGTTAGCCTAGACTAGCCACTTTTTGTAGAAAGGGAAAATTTTCATGGTGAGACATGTCTGACTCACACATCATGCATAAGCTTAAAGCATACCCAGCTGTGTAAACTTACCAATCCACTTGTCTTTAAGAAAAGAATATACGATCCAATAAGCAACATTCCAAAAGATCAGGTATTAACAATTTCAGATGTAAGTCATACTAGTTATACCAAACAGATATACCAAACAATGCAATAAACGATGCACACTGACCATGTTACTTCAACTAGAGCAGTGTACAGATCAACTAAAAGGCAAAAGGCAAACCTTGCAGGACCATCCTTGAGCGCGGGGAATGTGGGAGGCCAAACCATCATAAAAGGGTAGACATCAGTGAAATGTCGATCCTTTTGTGCCATCGCATGCACTTTACAGAGTGTCCTGTTCTTGACATCCAGATAGAGCACACATCCACACATTTTTTAAGAACAAAAACTCAGCATTATCCCCTGTCTGACATATATAGCAACGGCCAGTATGCTCATCCTCAAGCATGTTATCTAGCATCCTCAGATTAGCACACATCTCGTGCAAACAAATGGTATCGACCAGCAACCACTTGTCCCCCTTATGGAGCCAGATGTGAAGTTGAAAGCCAATGACATGGATGAGATATATACCGGAAGGATCATCTGCCCGTGACAAGATGGTGTTGAAACTGTGATACTTCACTCTAGGTGGGAGCTGGATTCTATACAAACTTGAGTCCGTCAAATCCAAGACAATAATGTCATCGCGAGGGAGGCCACCATATAGATTTTATTGTCGACAAGCACAGCTATTGCTCTGGGTAGTGGAAGATGGAGCTGCTATGTGGCCAAGGTATGCAAGCACCAAACACTGCCTTGCAACATATACACACGCATAGTCCATGGCGGACCCAGGAATTCAAGTTAGCTGGGGCGAACATCTAATGTCAAAAAAATTCGGTACAAATGCATCTCTATTCAACCAAAACTCATAGCATTCAGCAACAAAATAATAATAAGGGTTTGAAAAACCACTGGCATAATATAAGACGTTTTTTAACAATACACTAGTTTCAAAAAACATCTTACATTACGGAACGGAGTAGTAGTAAACTGCTAACATTGACTCTTGTCGCTTGAATGCTCACTTATGCCACAATATGATCCCATTCAAATTTCCAAACGAGACCGACAAAATTATGTATGCATTAGCACAAGTGTGATACGATTTGTATATTTTGATATGATCATATGATGGTAACTAGGTGGTAGCATCCTTTTAAATCTACTTGCACAATGAACACGAGGTTGTGGAGGTAGATGACCTCGACGGGTCTTCCAAGGCATGAGAATGAACTATAATATGTATATATCACTAATTTTAGCAAATATCTCGCGCTCAACAAAGGAAACCAGTGGCGCATCAGCCTCAACTGCTTGAATTGCAGCAACTATCCCTATCCAATCTATCTCTTCATCGGAATCAATCTCCGGCAATGGGCGCGTGGGTGCGTGGGCGTGAGGCGTCTGGGTTTGGCGGCAGCGCCGCAGCATGAGGCACTATGAGTTTTCAAGCTTTTTGGTAACTTGTTGCCAAAGGGGACAAAGTGTATAGATCATAGGCTTCAAGAGAGAGAGTGCTTGCTTCGTTTGCCTCCTTTTGCTACTCTATTTGCTCAGCTTGTTTGGTTGAAACTATGTTTTATGCTTGTTAGAGATACTTCTATGATCATATCATACTTTAATGCTTGTGCTTAATGATGATATTCTATCTCTCATGTATGATCATTCATATCTTATTTTGGTGATGAGTGCATATTTCATATTCTATCATTTTGAGCGCT